CATTCAACGATTCTTGCCTGATAGTCATCGCAAAGGTTTTCCCATGAAAAACCTTTTCGAAAACTCCTAGAAGATGATTTCTTCTAGGTGAGCAAGCAAGGGAAAGGAGGGCATCTCCAAGATCCACCCGTCCTCTTAGAATAGAAGGCTCAATAACAAAGAACGATATTCCAAACCTATTCTTCTCAAAGATTTTAAGGGCGCACCCATGACGATTCTGAATTTCAGAAATAAAGATTGAATGCCCATTAACCTTTTCCGTCTTATCAGCAGGGGTTATCCTGGAGAAATCCATGTTTTCCTTCAGCAAGCGACCCAACCAGTCTGCTTGGAATCATTCAAGTAAGATGAAGTGTTGACGATTAGGCTCCCCTTCCACATATATTTTGTAGAGGGACTTCTTTCTCGTGTGAAAATCTTCCAACGTGACACGCTTGTGACCAACCTACGTGGCTTGTCAAAGACCTTCCGAATCGCTATCGCCACGCTAATGCCAGAAAGCCGGGTACCTGCAAGAAAGCATACAAAAAGACTCTCTCAATCTTTCCCCGTCCCTCTTTTTCCCTCTCGCAGAATTTTTCCCTTGGTCTCATCTTTTGCACCTCGACTGTTCATTGACTTGAACATGTTAGGTATGTTAATTAGTTAGGGAGTCGTTTCAGGCGGTTAGAATTAAAATCAAATTACTAAAAACATGAATGCCAATCGAATGGATTAATCTTATAACTAGTATGTCTGGTTTCTTCATTTCTGGGTTTTTTAAACTTCCACCAGATGCGAAATCCAGTGGTGGAGGGAGAGGGTAACAAGGTGGGTCACGAGACCCACCCTAGTTCGGGGAAAAATGATTAAATTAGATACAATAGTTAATTGATATAAAAAACTAGGTCGCGTTTAGTTGAGAATAGTTCGTCGAAAAGTTTTGTGTTTGAATCTTGGTGACCTCATTTCTTAAGCATAAGGTATACAGATTTGTGCAAACATCGATTTCGTATAAGTTGACTTTCTTATAAGGGAGCATGGTAGTAAATGGTATAATATATTTTTGAAATCTTCCAACAACTCGATTTATTGATACTAAATATTTTTTTAAGAACATCATTCGAAAGCGAATGACTAGGTAAATCATGAGTTATTGGTTGGTATAAGATTTATTATTAAACCTCTATCAACAACTCGAGGTATTGACACTAACGGTTACTAACAAAGAACGCCATTTGAAACACTACGACTGACTAAATCAATGATTGTTTGGTATATATGGAGAGTGATATTCTTGATATTTTCGATTGCTAATGCATTTTAATTTATCAAAGGTTTTCAACGTAAGATTATATTAAAAAACTATTTTATCATATTTATTTTTTTTCGAGATGGACCCACCTTAAACGGAATCCTGGCTACGCCACTGGCGAAATCGATTACATTGGACATGAGTGGGAAGGGTTTAGCGTCTAATTAAAGACAGCTCCGTTGCCTGTCTCATTGCACAACAGACAATATCTCGTATTAGAGAGAAAATACAGATCCTCAACAGTGGGCAACGCCACTAATCACAAAATTTTTATTTTTATATGTATATGCATCCTTTAGCTCACGTCACTTATATTACAAGGAAACATTTATTTTTTAAAAAGAAAAAACAACGACAACAAAGAAGTGGTTGTCTTTCTTACATAAACGATCTTTGGGACATGTTTAGTCGAAAATCTTTTGTTCTCACGGACAATCCACGTTTTTGGTGAGTGTCGGTAATGGATTGTCCAAATGAAACCAACCCCCTCCCGCTGATAATGGCCGTTCAACATACACACATATAGGTACGTACAAATATTAAAGAAAGCGTGCAAGATTTATGCGATGAGTAGTACTATGTTGTTAGGAATGGGAAAATAACTAGCCCGTTTCAAAATTCATGCATTAACTCATATACGTTAGAAATTATTTGGTTTAGTTAGTAGTCTGTACTATGTGTTATTTTGATCTATTGGTTTGACCTAGTATAGACTGTAGACCATGGTGTACCATATCAGTCATCAGACCATGAATCTTGCGCACTTTTTAATCCGTCTTAGCAGGCCACTCGACCGATCTCTACTCCCCAACGAGATCCAAATCTCAATCATAGCATTACGTATCTCGTGTGCTCCTTGCTCTACAAACCACACTCCACCAAGAGCAGTGAAGATCACGCATCGATATGAAATTATGTTAATATTCATGATATTATGGTGAATGTTGTGTCACTTTGATTTTGTTATTTGCATAGACTTGGGATTTCAAGTTTATTCGTCCATGATAAAATTTCCGTTTTAGAGCAAAAAAATTGTTTTTCTTTGTTATTTGTTAAAATTTTCATTTGGTGGCCAAACAAACTAGTTATTTTTATTTAACATGCTATGTCTGATCAATACCATACCATATCATACCATACCATACTATATTGATATTCTAGAAACTCGAATCCCTTGCAGTATTCCTTCTTCCACTACTTTCTTTGTGAGAGACGATAATCTCTCTACATACAAGAGGAAAATATCGGGAGAGATCGAATTCTCTTGTCTTAATCCTATAGTAGGGCATATAATCTCGATTTGTTGAACCATATACTAGAGCTGCGCGCATAAGTTACAGTTGTAATGCATTGCATAATTACTTTTATCCACCGAGGCAAAATTCAATTTTCCCAGCATACCTTCAAGAAAATTCCAGTCCACATGATCATATGCTTTCGCTCAAGTTATGCGAATGTAGTTTTTTTTAGGGTTACTTTAGTTATGTTTGGCTTTATCCATTATTATAGTAAAGTTAAGCTGATTAGGGAATCCGCCATTTTTATAAGTGATTAATTATTAGGGGAATCCAATATTATAAACCCAACGTTTAAGTTTGCAATCTTTGCATATATACCCACACTCTTAATTAAGGCTAGTGGTGATTTATCCGTCTTCACGTCGTCATTGATATGCATATATGAACCTATCTAGCTACTAATTTAATAAAATTAATAAATATTAAATTATGGCATTTTTTTATTAAAAATCATGGCATTTTTACGTCTAAATATTCATGAGATCTAGATTTGATTCCAGCATGAGATGTCGTCATGTCACTGTTCATGCACGGTGATCCCCCGCCATCAATTATAATGTTAATAAACATATTTATGGAATACTATTAATAATTAATTAAGTTCTAATATATATAGGGAACACAAAAATTAAAGTACTTCCCGCATTACATATTTGTTTCTTCTACGCGCTCTATGTATGTATTTGTAAGGGACAGACAATGATCTATGATAAGCTGTATAACTATGCTTCCAAATAATGTGTTTGAGAAAGACATACATGCACGTAAGCACGTTGTTTCAATTTTCTTTGTCAATTGTCCAGAGACACATACATGAACTCTGATAGGCCATTCCACCCCCTTGTCACAATTGTGCTGCATAATTAGGGCTACTTATATCCCATTCCAAAGAGACAATTTCCATTTTGAGCGATGGGTGCTACAATTTATTTGGGGTTGTACAACTCCTTATCAATTGAAAAATCCAATTCGGAAAATGTGATTTGAACACTCATAAAAAGGACATTTATCGACGTATTAATGATGATTATGAAATCTTTTGTTTTTTCGGCTGAGTGCTGAAAACAAAATAACAAAAGTTGTAAGTTGAGATCTCGAAGGTATTGATGTCGCGAATCCGTAGATGAAAATCGTTTATACTTTTAAGTTATCATAACTTCGTAAGATCATGTGAACGCTACGTGCCTAGATGGCTAATCATGCCAAAGACAAACACGAACTAGTTTGCAAGTTTTTATTCATTTTCTAACTCTCATCGTTATTCATACTTCAATGTTTTTAATTTTGCAAGGAAGCCCCCTCATCATTATGGTAACTTTAATTACATTTGATGTGAGAAATTTTGCAAGACAACTCCCTCATTGTTATGGTAACCTTAATAACATTTGAATTTGATGCAAGAAAGTGTTTAATCTAATTCATAAATTATGTAATTGTTCTTAATTTTTTGTTGATTTCATTGCATATCTTTGTGACCGTGATTGTATTTTGATTGCAATAAAAGGTGGAATATTATCCATGAATGACTAATCACCTATTATTTTTCGTATGTAAATCATCAATTATTTGTGTAAATAGGCGGGGGAAAATTCGTTACCCTAATTTTGTTTCTTCATTATGAGGAAAATTGCCAGTCCCTCTAATTTCAAATCCTGACTCCGTCCCTATCTACTTCAATGCCACACCAAGACTGATGATGATCTCTACCTGAAAATTTCAAAGAATAAAGACCAAGAATAATTTCTACCTCAGTAGAAGTATTATTCTTTCCCAAGAGAGCACATTCTTTCTACCTCAAATGCATGTCAAAATACTAAAAAGATTTTCCAGCACATTCGTTCTTGGGCTGGCCAAGTAAAGAGTAAAGACGTGCTCCACAGATCTATAGTGAATCTTCCAATTACTTCAATTTAATACTCCGCAAAATCAACCACCATATCCACATTCTATTCCGCGTGCCTCACTGTTTTACTACCAATTACCAAAGGGTAAAACTTCAACGACCCTTGCCTACAAGAATACGTCATCCACCGTGTAAACGCGAACCCCACTTAAAGAAAATATATTTAAAAAAATAAAATTCAGAAGCAAGGCGTCTTCTCCCTAATTTCCTTTTCCAAGTCCAATTCAGGAATTCGCCCCGCAAAAATCCCGCCTTACTTATCACGTGCATTTATTATACCACTCTCCCCGTAATATTATCAATTAATTTAATTTCCCATCTAATCCCATTCTAATTAACTTAATCCAAATCACCCCACGCCCCGTATATAAACCCCAACCGCCTCCTTCCTTGCGCAAAATTCAAGTCTCTCTCTCTCTTTCTTCCTTTCCTCCACAGTTCTCTTTCCTTTCTCTCACTGTTTTTTTTTCTCTCTGCCGCCGAAACCCCACCGATTCCACAAACCATGGACTGGATTCGCGGCGACTCACTCGGCTGCGGCAGCTCATCGACGGTGGACCTGGCAATCTGCAGGGGGGCCCACTTCTCCTCGCCGTCGGTAATGGCGGTGAAATCCTGCGAAGCCATGGACTCCGACTTGCTCAAGAACGAGAAGCGGGTCCTGGACCAAATCGGAAACTCGCCCCACATCGTCCGCTGCCTCGGCGACGATATCAGCTTCGAGAGGGGACAAAACCTTCACAATCTGTTCCTCGAGTACGCCTCCGGCGGCAGCCTGGCCGATCACGTCAAGAAATCCGGCGGGAGATTGCCGGAATCGGCAGTCAGGAGTTACACGAGATCGATTCTCAAGGGGTTGAATCAAATCCACGGGAAGGGATTCGTCCACTGCGACATCAAGCTCCAGAATCTGCTGGTGTTCGAGAATGGGGGAGTCAAAATTGCGGATTTCGGATTGGCGAAGAGAACAGGGGAAGCAGAGGAAAAACAGGGGAGGGATAAAAAAGTGGAGATTCGAGGGACTCCTCTGTTCATGGCGCCGGAATCTGTCAACGAAAACGTATACGAGCCGCCGTGCGATATCTGGGCTCTGGGCTGCGCCGTCGTCGAGATGTTGACGGGGAAGCCGGCGTGGAATTACAAGCCCGGGACGAACATCTACTCGTTCTTGATCCGAATTGGGGCCGCCGACGAGTCGCCGGCGATCCCGGAGGAATTGTCGGCGGAATTGAAGGAATTTCTGTCCAATTGCTTCGTCAGAGATCCCGCGGCGAGATGGACCGCCGCAATGCTTCTGGAGCATCCGTTCCTTAGCGCCGACGAAACCGGAAACGAAAACGACGCCGTTTGCTGTTCGTGGGAGGAATTTCCATCGGTGTCCCCGCGGTGCCCGTTCGATTTCCCCGAGTGGGTGTCTTCGGTCCAATCGTCGCCGGCCGAATCGGGATCGGAATCGAACCCGTTCGATTCGTTGTCGTTCTCAAGTTGCTCGACCACCTCGCCGGCGGAGAGAATCCGGCAGCTGGCGAGCGTGGAGCAGCAGGCGCCGTTCAGTTGGGGAGATTCAGGGAGTTGGCTGGTAGTGAGGTGAATGATGGAGACAGAGAAGAGAATTTTTTTTTTCTTCTTTTTCTTTTTTTTGTTAGGAAAGCAAGTTGGGCAGATATTTAGTAATTTTTAGAGTGGTGGTGAGCAATTTTTGGTTGCTGGGTTTCTTCTAACAATTCAATTGATTTATTTATTCTTCATCTCCATTTTTTTTCTTCTTCTGGGTTTTTGTGGGGGAAAAAGGGGTTTGGGGAATTGGAAAGGTAAAATAGTAATAGAATAGGTAGGAAGCAAAGCTGACAATTAGCAGTGTGTTTTTGACAGAAGAGAAGAGAGTTATGATTGGTGGATCCTTGTGGCCTGGCTGGCTGCCCTCAATGTACAGATTGATTCCCTGTTTGGTTTCAAGTTAATAGTAAAATTTTGATTGGTATGAATTCTCCATTACATTTTCAATTTGTATATGTGATTCCTTCAAATTTAAGCACTGCACAGTAAAGATATGTTAATTTGAGGAGCAGTACCTCATGAAATTAAAAAAATAATGATAAGGTTACTTGTACAAGTTGGAATGGGGGGGTTGGGGGAAGTTGTTATTTAGAAAAAAATGGAAAGAAATGGAGATTGGTTGAGTGCAAGTAGAAGATGATCATGTCAAAATTAAACTAATTGGTGCAGCTAAAAAGGGGGGTTTTAGGTAGATTTGGGGGAAAGCATCTGCACACATATTCCTTAGGCATCATCTCATTCTCAACAAGAGGCAGGCTGTTGTCATTTCAACTCACAAAGTTTTGGTTAGTTTCTTTTGTTGGTTTTCTGTTAGTTCGGAGTAATGGTCCATTGCATCAGGACAATTGTGTCTTTGTGTGTATGTGCGGATGGCTTCAGTTTGTGCTCAAATCGTTGGATTAGTTTTACGTGTTCTGAATTAAATTATCTGAATAATAATGTTATTTGTATAATGTTTGGATATTGGTCCAACTATTTGACACGCGTTGAGGTTATTCTGCCAATCTAAAGGCCTGAAACATACAGGGGGCTGCGGCGACTCAATGAAGGTGACGTTGTTAGATTATCCCTTACATGACATAGTGAAAAGTATATGCATACACTTTCATGTCGTGCCGATTCGGCAACTAGGAACACAGTCACATTTTCACGCCGACAAAAGGATTGTAAACATACGAGAGGTAATCAAGTGAATAATAACGTTATTAGTGGATGGGTGGAAGAGATGGTTTGATTGAAAGATTTTGTGTGGTCTTGGAACTTGCAAAGTCAGTACAAAAGTGAGCATCCACATACATGTTAATCTGCATCAAAGAAAAGGAAAAAGCTCAAGATTTAGGAAATCCAGTGAATGAACAAAGCCAATAAGAAAGAAACAAATGAAAGGAATCCTATTATGGTGGAGGAATATGGAAAATCCAAAAACTTGGCAACAATAGGGAAGAGATCTACCGGCGGCGGCGGCAGGACATTCTTTGGTGAGTGAAGAAGGAGAAGTGAGTAACAAGCTAAGCTAGGGCAGGGCAAGCGCAACCAAAACTTGCAGAAAAGGGATAAAGGAAACTTTTGTTCCTATCCTATTCAAGTGGAAGCAGCTGCTCTTCTCAATGTAGTTTTCTTGGCGGCCCAAGTGTCCTGCCTAGGGATGGCAATTTCGGCCTGGCCCGTTTTACCCGACCTGTTTGATCTGTTTTGGGGCGGGTCCGACCCGCCCTGTAGGCGGGGCGGGGCGGGCATGGGTAGTCTTATCGACCCGGCCTGCCCTGACCCGCCCCATTCTTGACCCGTTCTTATCTAAATTACATGAAATCTTAGTCAAATTACTTTGAATTTTCCTTTTATTGCATCATATTTTAGCTATAATAAAGTTGTAAATTAGTGAAAACCTCAATTTCTCCAATAATTTAACTACAATTGTCATAGTATTGTTTGTTTTCTTAGTTTTATAATAAAATAACGAATATTTCTAATGTTTTTCATATAAATTGCATACTCATTGGGTCAACCTGCCCCGACCCGTGACCCGTGATCAATTACCCGACCTGGACCCGCCCTGCCATGGGGCGGGTCTGGGTACCAAGAAACCCGCCCCGGACCTGCCCCATTGCCATTCCTAGTCCTGCCCCACGTGTGTGAAGTCAGATTGTGAGGTCCCGACAACGTCCTTGAAGAAGTCACCAAATCTTTGGGCATGGCAATGCAGGGCAATGTTGGCCCGTGTCATCGAAATTCTTTAGTCTGCACCTTGGATCACGGTGGAGTTTACTCTGAGACATTTCAATGGTATTGCTGATTGGGTGGCAAAGAGCACTCGTGACGGTTTTTTTACCAGTGGACTGGATTACTATTTTGAACTTGTTTCGGATTTGGAATAAATGATTCATCTTTAAAAAAATTTATATATAATCCTAATAATGAGTCCACATTTGGAGGGTTATGCATATATGTGTAGGGATCTCCTACAATAAGTTTGGTTTAATTTTAACTTAGGTAATTTGTATAGATCTGAACCAAATAGATTAAAATCATTTTAAGCCATTGATTAAAAAATTAAAACAAAAAAGAAAGACAAGGCACCCAGCACCGCTAGACACCACGTTCCCCTTCTGAACTTTCAATGTTTTTCTTTCCTTTTTCACATCTTTATGTTTTTTAAATTGTTTTATTACCTTTTTGAATTACATCGATTACGTAAACTACACATCTATTACATAAAGGTTAAGGAACGATAATGGTTTCTTAAATAACAGTTAAATTAAAAAATTTACGTAAGACTTTCGTAATGGTTTAACACTTTACGTAACACAAGATTTTTAATTTTCATTAGGTAAAAGGACATCTCATTACGTAAGTCTTTCGTAATAACATTTTACAGCTATTACGTAAAAAACACATATATTTTGTAAACGTTCCGTAATGATAGTCATGTCTTACGTAACAGTTAAATCATAAGCGTTACGTAGGGTTTCCGTAATTACTTATCACTTTATGTAACGCAAATGTATTCATTATGTAAAATTATCGTTCATTACGTAAGGCTTCCGTAATGACACTTTTACAACCGTTACGTAAAATACACTCCGAGTATTACATGAAGTTTACAAACAACAACTATTTCTTACGTAATAGTTATATTTGAAGCGTTATGTAAGGATTACGTAATGACTTAAAACTTTACATAATGCAGATCGAATATTCATTACCTAAGAAGACCGTTCATTACGTAAGGCTTCCGTAATGACCTTTTACAACTGTTATGTAAGATAAGAATACATTACGTAACCTTTACGTAACGCCTATTGTGTTTTACGTAATGCGACCTGTGAAACCTGACACACCTTACTTCAAGTCTCCGTAGGAAATCCCCATATGTGTATATATACTTAATGATGTTTGTAAGAGTTAAGACGGTAACCATATAGCCTACAAATAGCAGACAATTCGAAAAGTTCATATTCTCTCCAAACAGCAAATTCCGTTCATCCAAATTCCAAACAATCATGAAAGTGTCAATACTTTATCATTGAGTTCATTTTCAAGGATCAAACTTTCATCAAGAGAAGTCCTTTATGTCAAAGCTTTGCTTTGTCTGAATTTTCCTTACCAAATAAGAAATGTAGTAGAGGATTCATTTTGTTGAAACGAGATGGCGACTTATGCTACTTTGGCAACCGCAAGATATTGTGTCACTTGGCAGCCGCAAGATTGGGAAATGGAGGTTTTCACTAATTTACAACTTTATTATAGCTAAAATATGATGCAATAAAAGGAAAATTCAAAGTAATTTGACTACGATTTCATGTAATTTAGATAAGAACGGGTCAAGAATGGGGCGGGTCAGGGCAGGTCGGGTCGATAAGACTACCCATGCCCGCCCCGCCCCGCCTACAAGGCGGGTCGGACCCGCCCCAAAACAGATCAAACAGGTCGGGTAAAACGGGCCAGGCCGAAATTGCCATCCCTAGTCATCCCTGCTATTGCCAATTCTCTCTTGTCCCGGTGATGTGCTCGGCGTCTCACCCGTTGTCGTTTATTCAAGCTAGCAGGGGGGAAGATTGGGACGCGGCCGCCTGCCTAAGTTCCTTGAGTCTTATCGGTGGTGGGATTTCAAGGGGCACGAGCCACGAGGGAAAGAAGCCACGAAACTTCGATCGGGGAGCTAGCATCCAAACGTCGCGGGGAGAAGTGTGAAGCTGTCCCCGCTGCTGTGGGATGGAGGGGAGAAACTGATGACTACAGAGTAATTTCACCCACTTAACAGCAATTTAACGGATAATTAGACAGAAAATTATATTTTTTATGTTTTAATAGTAGAAGAGTAAGTTGGTGTAAAATTTAGGAGAGGGGTAGAAAATTCTATTATCCCTATTTGTGTTCATGTTAATTGATGTTAATGGATGCTTTTTACAAGTTTTAAAAATTAATATTTTATAATTTGCATTCCAATATCTAATCGACACACAACATAGTAGTAACCAGTAGTTCAAAATTATTTTTTGCTTTTCGCCTTTAGAAGTAGATGTTGAGTGTGGAACATTTAGGAAATATGATAATTATTATTTGATAGTATAAACAATAAGCGGCCTGTTGTCATGTGAAAGTGGTGGTGGCCGATTCGAGTGACCACCCACCCGAATAAGTGCAGATAGGAAATTTTCAATCCTCGATCCTCCCACCAGGTTGCGGTTTGAATTATTTAGAGAGAATCGATATCAAACCATTGATTAACCACTCGCATGCTAACCCCTTGTTAGCGAACTATTTTTTTTTTTTATTTCGAGTAGAGATAGTGCTTCTGTTCATGTATATCGAGCTCGATTTCAAATTTTGACTATCAAGCTCGTGAATTGAATCAAAACTTGATTCGACTTGAGTCATTTGTAACTATTAATATCCATAACTCATCAGCACGGTACAACTGTTCTGAATGTGGAAGAGTTATTATCTCATCTTCTCATGGACTGTGCTCCATCAGCCAATTTCGGGAACTCCTACATCATGCATTCAATCAACAAAATCGACGGGCTCATAATGCATCACTTGTAATACCCAATAAACAGAAAAATTGATGACCCTCCTATCACAACTAGTTGACTTGGAACGCCTTATCGACCTTTAACAGATATGTACTCAGCAGCTTTACAATTACTCATTAGATTTACCTTTAGCTGATATATGTACTCAACTCAAAGGAGTCATTGCCTTACTGGGATCGTTGGACTGAACCCAACCGGCGTAGCTTCCATCGTATATAACTCGCAACTTCTCGTACCTTGGAATCGGAGTAGGCCAGCAATGAACTCTAGGCTGAAACACCCTCCAACCAGTAAAAAATTGAGTTAGTTCGCTGACGGACCCTAGCACTCCCCCCTTCCTCAAATCGCAGGACAGATGACAATTCCCAGCAACACCACAAAAATCAGTGAAGAAGGCAACTTCCGGCTTCTCTGGATGCAGAGTAGGAACTAAAAGGCCCCAGCCACAGTTACCAACGGATGATGACTTCACTGGACCTTCGCACACCTTACTCCAAGTTTTACAGTTTTCGTCTAGTCTCCAAACGCTCAAATGAAACAACAAACCAGCAGACTTAGCGCGCTCCTCGATCCCAGTCAAGTGCAGGGCACCTTGTGAAACTGAAATATTCCACCACAGTTCCGCAGCAATCGGAGGAACATCAATGGGAGTGACAGCTATGTCAAGGCGAAATGCGTTGAAACTAGCAATCGAAGGTCTATACAAGCCATGTGGTCTCGGCACATATAAAACCCCATTGCATGAAACAACATCATATAGTCCGCCTATGCAATAACCTTCCAGCAAAAAAGCCTCCTTTGTCCATTCTCCAGACTCGGAACAGAACATGTCTAGTTTCATATTACCCCTATCTCGGTAGATACACACCACCCGGAAACGATACATATAACCAGCTCCGATATCATGATCACTAGAAACCAAGGGTTCACAAACTAACCTTGCATACAATGCCGAATGCCCCATTGGCCTTTCAGGGGCCAAGGGGAGGGCAATCCATTGCTCCGTAAAGAGATTGCAGAGCAAGTACGATCTGACAAGTTCGGCATTAGTACAGCGGCCTGATTCCCCAAACCCGCATAAAAGCAAGTCCTTGAAGCAATCAAGCACTGCGAAATCCCAGGGTCTGTTGTCAGCGGGCATGGGGAAAAAGCTCAGGCTTTCAGCTGAGAGAAGGAGCTTCGGAGGAGGTTGTTTGTTCTTGCTCTGGTGGTGGGAGATGAAACGGAGACGGAAGCTGGGATCAGAAATCAGAGATCTCCATTGCTTGCAAACGGCTTTGTTCCGGCAGGCGGATGTAGGGTTGGGGAAGCGAATTAGAATTTCTGTGAGGAGATCGTCTCCGAGTTTGCCAATCATCGGAGATGGAAGATTCAATGCTGATCCGATACTGTGGTGCATTTTTCGGTCGCCATGGAGATAGAAAAACAGCCGGATGGAAGGCATATAACGCCGCCGCATGAGTTAGGGTTAGGAAGGAATATAACGCCATCGCCGCAGGAGTTCTAGCAAAAGCCGGGAGACGAGGAAAACCCCCAACTCTCTAATCCTCGGCTGAGAAGGTGATCTTTACATTTCTAAACTCAAGTTTAGCCGCATAGGCCCAAGCCCAGGTAAGTTTGCCTACGTCGTTGGCACACCACCTTCTAGAAAGTTTGGCCAATGTGAGCGACGTAAGAAATGGTCACGAAAGTTTGGCCAATCCATTTACATACTATTGTAGAGCCCGACCCGTTTAACGGGTAGCTTTGGAATCATTGTATGATTTGCTGGGAGTTATCTCGTTAGCTAGAAATAATATGGTAAATTAAATTCGAAATTTGGAAATTTCAAGTGTCGACACGTCGTGAATAGATTAACGATCTTTAGAAGACAATAGTTATGCTAAATTTGTAATAAGAATTACATGTGACTTGCTTCTAGAGGTGGCAAATGGATTGGATTCATGGATTTGTAGATTGGATTGGGAGATCCATGGATCAAATGGATTGGTAGATTTATGGATTGGATTGGTGGATTATCCATGAATCCAAATGACATTCTCAACTTTGGACTAATATGTGAAATGCGAAAAGTTTAGGTACTATAATGTCATAATAAAAAAATTATCAAAACGTACTTTTCCAATGATATTTTTCTATAATTAAATTAAATTTTAGGTACCAAAATGTAAAATTTGCCAACGATCAAATGAATCCAATCCATGAATCCACCAATCCAATTGAATTTGTATCAAGTGGATTGGATTTAAATAAATTGGATTAGTTGGATATTTTTAATGAATTGATGGATTGAATTGGTGTATTGAATTGAGAATTATCACCTCAACTTGCTTCCCATATAGCATGGATAGTGCTAAGCATGAAAGTAAAAGCTTTGCATTCGGGTAAATTGCAAGTTTGGTCACTTGAATTACTAAAAATTGTCACGTTTGCCACTAAAATTATTTTATTCCATTCGTGGTCACTAAGATTAGTTCAACAGTTCAAGTTTGGTTACTCTCCGTTAGTCTCCGTTAACTTTTTCTGATGTGCCAGTCAACTCTGATAGTTGACCGTTAAATGAGTGACCTGACAAATAAAAAATAATTAAAAATTAAAAGGTAATATTTAAGAAATTCAACCTCATTCTTCTAAACTATTAAAAATAAAATGAAAAGGAAACCCTCTGCCCATCGTGGGAAGAGTTCTCTCCTCTCTCCTTCCACACGCAGCCGGTTTTTTGGCTGATAACCACCTCAATCACGAACAATTGGTGTCCTCCAGTCCATCACTGTCGTGCGATTGAGACTCTGTTGCTCAAGTGCTTCGTGCACCACTGTCCCATCCTGGACGTGCCGCCCATTCAACCCTCTCTCTTTCCCCGCTCAAGTATGTTCGTGTCCCCAACTTCGCAACGGATTCACCGCCGCTGCATTGAATCGACTCTCAAAGCCACAACATCCTCCCAGATCTAGCACCGACCCTCACCTCTGTCGTCGCCGCTGTCTCTCTCTGTCACGTGCCTTTGATCGTGAACTGATTTTGGGAAGGATTTTGGGTTTGTCTCTTGGGTCTATGGTGGAATTCTGGAAAAGGGAACAAAAGGGTTAAGAACAAGTAGAAGGAAGGGAACGTGGAGAAGGAGAAATAGTTTGGAATGGCTTCTTCGAGGCGAAGCTCAAACCCACCGCTCCTAAAAACTAGCTAGTAGCTACAGAGTTCTATCTCACAACCAACAACCAAATAATGAAATCTCTAATTTTCGGCCACTAAACTACTCGTAACATACCATCCCCTTGAAAAGATTCCTAACCACAAGAGTCAAATTTGAGTCGACAAGAGATGAAGTTGTCCTGTTGTTTGATTTTTCCTCTTAGACGTCTTTTATAGTGGCGATGCTTTTCGTGGTCAATGCCTCGACTTGGATAGTAGCATCGACGGGGTTTGTTGGGTGCGGCATGCTCGCCGACAAAACAGCGGCTGTCACTGGTGGCGCAATTATCTTCATGGACATTGCGGGAGGGCCTGCTGGAGCTCTGACACTGGGTTGCTCGGCCTTCAATCCTTCATCCATTCGCCGCCGGGCGAGAATAGATCGAATCTTGCGATGAGATTCGTAGAATTCTTCCGCATCCCCTGTCTCAACGCTATAGTCTCTTGCATGGTCTTCTTCCTGAACGTGGCTTCACGAGGCTCCATAGCGACCGAAGCTGCCGACTCTGAATCTCTGATACGAATGTCTGCTAGGGAGCCGAAAGTGGAGTCAACGGCGAGTGACGACATATGGGCGATGAGAAGCTAGCGGGTGAAGGCGCGTAGCAGCGAGCTTGATTTGTTTTTTTTTTTTTTTTTTTGAGATAATGATGTGGAATTTGTAAAATTTTTATTTTTTTATTATTTTTTAGTTGCCACGTCACTCATTTAACGGTCAACTATCAGAGTTGACTGCCACATCAGAAAAAGTTAAATGAGAGTGACCAAACTTGAACTGTTGAACTAATCTTAGTGGCCATGAATGGAATAAAATAATTTTAGTGGAAAACGTGACATTTTTTAGTAATTCAAGTGACCAAACTTGTAATTTACCCCTTTGCATTCTAAATGAGTAAATTATTTGGCCATTATGCTCAAAGCCCAAGCCCAGTCAAGTTTGGCTACGTTGTTGGCCCACCTTCTAAAAGGATTGGCCCATGAAAAGTTTGATTTTTAACAAGGCCAATACTAGTGTTAATTGCATGGTTGGTCACTGAGATTACAAAAAGCGTTCATGTTTGGTCACTCGAAATATTTAAATCCATTTGTGGTCCCTAACTTTACAAAAACCATTCATTTATGGTCACTCTCCGTTAGCTGCCGTCCAATGTCGTTAACAGCGTTCGTTAAGTGATGACGTGGCTGACGGATTAGCCTAATCATCACTTTTTAACCCAAAAATTGGCTGACCCGACCCACCACGTCATTTAAACCCGCCATGTCAGCTGAACCTAACCAAACCAGACCCGCTAACTAAAACAGACCTGACCCGACCCACCAACTAATCTACCCACCTTTGACTAACCCCTCTCATCCTCTCGCACCACTTCTCCTTCCTCTCGTTCTTCATCTCCCCACCACCCAAAACACATGCCCAAGCAAAACCAAACAAAAGGAGAAAAAGAGCAGAGGAACAAAAGCTCCGATACCACTTCCACTGCTAAACGTCAAAAGATTCAGGCCACATCCCTGCTGCTGCTGCTGGCCGGCAGACTTGTTTCTGTTGACCGCTTTCCTCTCTCTATATAGCATCGGAGAAATCGGCGTGGCCGAGGTGGAATTTGATTTAAATCTACAAAAATGGAATCCGAAGGAACATCGTCATCATCAGCCCGATCAGGCATTTCACTGAACACTTGCTCGGCACCGACGCATCATTTCGTGCTGGTCCACGGAGTCGGGCACGGGAGCTGGTGCTGGTACAAAATCCGGACCCTGCTGGAGTCCTCGGGAAACTGCAGGGTGTCGTGCGTCGACCGAACCGAACAAGATCGCCAACGGCGCCGCCTCGGCAACCGCCCGTTGCAAACCCTAAATCCCCAAATCATCGACACGAATCACGAGGAAACCCTAATCGTATGCGCCCAATTCCGCCTCCACGGGCTGAGCCACAACAATCCCGACGAGAGAACAGAGTTTCTGAAGACCCTGAGGCGATTGGAGCCCAAGGGAGTGGTTCTGAGCGACAACAACATGGATTGCAGCTGCAACGGGTGTGTGGATTTCTCGACGGGGTTTTCGCGAAGGGTGGAGTACCTGTGGCGGTTTCTGGACTCAACGAGCTCGGGGTTCAAAGGGAGGGAGAGCGAGGAGGATGATGGAAGGGGAAGCGGCGAGGGCACTTGTGAGAGGCGGAGGTGGGGAGATGAAGAACGAGAGGAAAGAGAAGTGGTGCGAGAGGATGAGAAGGGTAAGTCAAAGGTGGGTAGATCAGTTGGTGGGTCGGGTCGGGTCTGTTTTAGTTAGCGGGTCTGGTTTGGTTAGGTTTAGCTGACATGGCTGTTTAAATGAAGTGGCGGGTCGGGTCAGTCAATTTTTGGGTTAAAAAGTGCTGATTAGGCGAATCCGTCAGCCACGTCATCACTTAACGGACGCCGTTAACGGCGTTGGACGGCAGCTAACGGAGAGTGACCATAAATGAACGGTTTTTGTAAAGTTAGGGACCACAAATGGATTTAAATATTTCGAGTGACCAAACATGAACACTTTTTGTAATCTCAGTGACCAACCATGCAATTAACCCGCCAATATTACAGTGCCGCTCTGAAAACAGCGGCACCGGTGACGCAACTTTTCATTGGTCCACGTGGTGTGATGTGACACCATTTTTGCTTGATAAATACCAACTGAACCTCCAGTGACCCATTAGTAATGGACCAAACAAAGTAACAGAGAAAGGTTCTCCGTCCAACGAGCTGTTTCTGTTTATTTTTTTCAATTAATTAAATTAAAATTCATGGAAATGTTATTTCGGTAACAGAAACAGGGGTCGACCAAACAACATTTGCTCGATCTCCCTTGCCGGCGGCTTCTACCAAATTGTCCATCGTCGATCCCATCTCCAGGGCCTACCTATCGCCTCGATTGAAAGCCCTCATTGTTTCCTCCTACATTGATTTTGTAGAACAGAGGCAAAGGAATCCCTCGTTTTGCACAGCCTCTGTCTCCATCAAATAGCGCCGCCAAGGCGCCAACAAAGTACCGGACTATCCTAGGTCAAAGACGAAGAGAGCCGCCCTCCTCTGTGCATCCGCGTCGCTTTGCACCGACCCTGTTGGAATCTTTAAAATCAAGTTCTAGGAGGTGCTCAGCGAATTTCCCACCAATGTAAAGGCTTCCTTGTCATTCGATTAATGTGTCTTTAAGGAGGTAGGAGAATCTGCCGCCTTTTTTACATTTCCTCTTTATTCTGCTTCCAAAAATTCAATCCACTTGCTTCAAGCATTGTAAACTATACATGATACATCTATGCAAATATCAACTCGATTTGTCATCAAACTTCAAGGTGTTTGTGACTGTGAATTGTGATGTTTGTGAAATGCTTCTGATTAATAGTCAATCTGGTGTACTTCTTTGTATTCCTTTGATCTGCAATATAACCAGATTTAGTCACCTGTATCATTCGGGACGAGCTATGAGGCCAAACGGGAACTGTATTAGATATTTTCCTCCTATTTTGAACGGGAAAGCAGTTAACTACCTTGCCATTCAAGTTTATCTGTTATATGATAATTGTAATCGTTGGCAGGGGCGGAGTTAGGATTTGAATCTCGGGGGGGCCGAAGTTGTGTAGTTTACCATGACAAAAAAAATTTATAGAATTTTTATTATCATAACAAAACAAGAATTGAGATAATTATTTACTATGCGATATGGTCAAAACAAATTATTAAATTACGAAAAAAAATTAATCATGCATTTCAATATGTAACTCATTTTTATCATTTTCAAAAAATTTATTGGCTTATTTCAATATAGAAAGAGCAAAATAACACTTAATTTGTTGTAGTTTAGGTGAGAATGCTCACAACTTGAAAATGGCAAAAATGGGCACTAATTCGCTATAGGCAAGATTCGAACCCATGCACCCAATTTGAAATATCAACTCTTCTACAACTTGTCCACCGTTTAGTTTCTTGTCACATTATTGCGCACACAATTAATATTCTAACATCTATTTTATACGTAATTTTTCACAATCCGAAGAGATTTTGTAAGTAGTTTCAAAATTCTCTGGGGGGCCGGGGGCCCCCCGAGGCTCCACCTAGCTCCGCCCCTGATTGTTGGGGGTATTACCAAGATACTCCGTGCATAGACTAAGTAATAGCGCGTCCAATCGATAACGTACGACACTCGAAACCCGCTACGAATATATAAAAGTACGAAACCCTCCAAGGGGAGGGGACTTCTTCTCTCTACTCACTTTCCACTATCTCTCTATATTTTATCTCTCTAGATTGTTCTCTCAACTCTTATCTTAAACATAAATAAATTGATCGTCGGAGCTTAATCCGGGGGGCATCCCCGGCTCTTTCACAGGTTTCTTCCCTCCCGACGAGATCAGAATAATGGATCGTGTGTCAACCCCACACCAACAAATATCATTGTTCACACCTCGAGCTAGATGGTACAAACAATTGGCGCCCACCGTGGGGCTTCACTTATACATTATGTTCCTCTGGTTTCTAAAGGAGGAGGAGATATGGGTAGATGAGGAATGGTGGAACCATCAACAAAAAGAAGAAAAAAGGAAGATTTGTGGGAGGATTTGAAGGAGCAGCAAAGCTTGCATCAAAATCCCATTCGTCCTTTCCATGGCTTGTACAGAAAGAGAGCAATACAAATTATCCAACAAAAAGTGGAGTGGGATCCCAGAGCCATCAACGCAAGGGGAAGAAGAAATTGATTATTCCCTACTACCACAACCAATTACAACAAGTCTTACACAAGTTTGGTCAAAAGATGCTCACCAAAGCTACAATGACCGCGCAAGAAGAGGAGAAACAGTAAAGCAATCCAGATCTCCGACGACTATGCTCGACGTCGGACCTCCGGTGAAGAGAAAACTTAGAGTCCTACCCCTTTCCCAAAAATCGGGCATGCTCCACTACAGTAAATAGACCACAAATCGAGGAAAATGGGAAGGTTTCTCAGAGCCAATTGCACCCTCTGTCAGAAAAAGAAGATGGGCAGAGTTTCCGAGGCAAGCACAGTTACCGAGGAAAGAGACGCCCCACTATCGACATCCTTCCTCGCCGCATAATGGTAGCCGCGCAACTTCTCACCGACCGCCATCATCGATTCCGCTGCAAGCTCTGCTCCGCCGATACTGACGCTCAGCCTCTTCGTGCTCCGCTCTATCGCGCACAACAACAGATGCGAGCTCTGTGAGAAGTTGCCTCCAAAGCCAGCCCTCTCGTGAATCTCTGCCCGCTTCGCGACACAAGTCTTTGCAGCCAAATTTCATCCAAGGCGCGCGGCCGTGCTTGAGCTTCTCTCTCCCATCTCTCTCCGGGAAAAAAAAAGTACAGCAGTGAGCAGCTCAGTAAGGATATTTGCCCTGCTTCACCCTCCACCAATACCCACCGCGACTGTGTGCCCGCGCCACCGACCCGCGGCCCACTTCCTACGCAAACTAGCAGCTGGGGGATCGGCCCCACCAACTCGTGGCCCACTTCTTCGAAGCTGATCCGCGTCTCAAGCCTGCTCCTCCGCCCGCCTCCAAGTGGTCCCGCGACGCAAACAAGCCCTCCAGACACCAACTCGCAGCATGACCTCTTTTGGCCGCTCTAGAAGTTAAGCTCGCCTTGCATCACGCCCCGCACAACTAGCCCGCGTGCTCTCAACTTGCTGATCGGGCCCAATACTCGGGTCCCCCGGCCTGCTATGTTGTTCAAGTGTGCCAAGTCCAATAGACAAGGAGCTTATCAAAAATAATATTGTCGCCGCAAGTACTTGAACCCAGGCAATTACATTACATCAACAAATCAGTGCACAAGCCAGTACGCCACAAGGACAACTTCTGCTCTTGATGCGGTACTCCATCATTTTAATATATCAAGTCGCAAGGCGCTACAAGCTATGCTTTCCACCCCGCTCAACACACCTCAAAGCTCCAGTCCTCTGCCTCCCACTACAGCAACGCGGCCCGTCTTACCTCATCCGAGCCCACGCCAGATTAGCCCGCCCCGCCTCACCAGTATGCGGCCCACCACACCCGATCCAAGCCCCCGCCCGCGACCTACTTCCACAACATAAATCCCGGTTTCAACCCATGTCTTCCGCCCCAGGTCCACACCAACCCACTCCGCACCAAGTGTGCAACCAACTTCGCGGCCCGTGTCATAATCCCGCCTCTCCAACGTGAAGTTAAGTACTCCATCCTTTTGTGATATTTATATAATTTTTAAATATTGAAATCTTATGCGCGCTAATGCGGGCAAGACATACCAAGTAACACGTGAGATGACAAACTCAAGGAAGCGACATGTAATCACGACCCGCGCCTCTACTAATCAACGCCATGAAGAATCTACAATGGGTGAGGGCTAACAATCACGGCGCGTGCCTCGACTAGTCAATGCCATGCCCTCACCAAGCGCTCGACGCCTTGAAGACTCCATGAAGAATCTACAATGGGTGAGGGCTAATAATCACGGTCCGTGCCTCGACTAGTCAATGCCATCCCCTCACCAAGCGCTCGACGCCTTGAAGACTCCAAATTGAGGGTTAAAAACCCCGATGAGGAGAACTCCAAACGGAGGGTTAAAAAACCCCGACGAGGAGATGGCACGTTGCCTTGAAGACTCCAAACTGAGGGTTAAAAACCCCGACGAGGAGAGGGCACATTGCCTTGAAGACTCCAAACTGAGGGTTAAAAAACCCCGATGAGGAGAGCTTCAAACTGAGGGTTAAAAACCCCCCAATGAGGAGAACTCCAAACTGAGGGTTAAAAACCCCCGACGAGGAGAGGGCACATTGCCTTGAAGACTCCAAACTGAGGGTTAAAAAACCCCGACGAGGAGAGCTCCATGAAGAATCTACGATGGTTGAAGGATACACGCACGCCTTAATGAAATACACCAACTGGGGGCAAGACGCAAGAAGCTGGCACCGCTTCAGCCAAACGCGCCACCAGTTGGGGGGCAACTGGGGTACATAGGGCTCCATCCAAAATTATCAATGAAGTTTAAAAAAAAAAATAATAAGCTAGCGATGAGTTAAAACTCACCACCAGCTTGGAGGGCAATTGTTGGGGGTATTACCAAGATACTCTGCGCATAGACTAAGTAATAGCGCGTCCAATCGATAACGTACGACGCTCGAAACCCGCTAGGAGTATATAAAAGTATGAAACCCTCCAAGGGGAGGGGACTTCTTCTCTCTGCTCACTTTCCACTTTCCACTATCTCTCTACATTTTATCTCTCTAGATTGTTCTCTCAACTCTCATCTTAAACATAAACT